GAACTGTTCTATCAGCTTACAGTAGGACTGAAAAAGCAGCAACAGCTGAAAGTGGAGTTTGTAGAGTCTTTGACAGAGCTCCAGTTGCTGCAAGTCAGAGAAAATTGGTTGTTGGCAAAAGGTTTATTTTATTTTTATGTAATAAACACAACTAGCTACTTGTAAATTGGCATCAAATCTGCTGCAGTTCTACAGAAAACTACAAGACTGCTAATTTTTGATTTGAAAACATAAAAGACAATTTGAAACAACATCCAACTTACAGCCAGAGATTCCATTTGCTACAAAGCACGCATGTTACAGGACAGAAAATAAGGGAGGAAAACAGAGACTCAGAAAAAGGACATGCAGTTCCTCATTAATTTCATTTATAAGGGAGTGAGAAGTATTAACAGAGGTATTTTTATTGGCATGCAAAGAGGTAGGAAAAGTAAGGAGGGATGTATGGGTAAATTTGAACTAAAAGGAGAACAGGTAGTTGACATGAATTAATCAAAAATGAAACAAGCCGAGCCAATGAACATTTTTGCCTGTTAATTGGCAGAAATGCACTCACTTTGGTGGTAATCTCTTATTATTTATTGCCAAGTTTTAACAATAAAATCCTTCATAAGTTATGAAGTGAGCAGAGGTGGGAAGTAACAAAGTACAAATACTTATTTACTTTACTGTAAGTAGATTCAATAAACCCTTGAATCTTATAAGTAGATTTTACAGGTATCTGTACCTTACCTGAGTTGATATTTTTCTTATTACTGTTTTATTTTTACAAACCATTACCTGTACTTTAGACTCCTCCCATTTTCAAAAAAGGCTTGGTACTTTTGTTTTAATGCATTTGAGGGGATTTTTTGTATTATTTTATTGTATCTATGTCCATGACATGGAGTAACTCTATGGAAGAATCAGCCAACATCACTGATAACGTCGACAACATCCACAATGAAACAGGGCAACAAAACATTCCCTATCCCTGGCCTTATTTAAATGAACAATACTACATTATATTGTAGCCTACACATTTCCTCCTGTAAAATGTTTCATTTGAAAAAAAAATATTCTTGCTTTAGCCCACGTTTGTGGTAAGTTTGTATTAGATTTGAACAGAGTGGTTTAAATTAAATGTGACATGACTCTCAGTTTGTTTTGCATGGATAAAGGTGGTAGAGGTGGCCCTTCACCTTTTTACTTTTGTACTGAATACATTTTAGAGCCTATACTTTTATACTTTTACTTGTGTAAAGAGGTTGAATAAATATTGATACTTTTACTTGAGTCATATTTGACGCAGGTATCTGTACTTCTACTTGATTAAAGAATGTGTGTACTTTTGCCACCTCTGCAAGTGAGTGTATTATCCAGGTTTAATGCAACTTAAGAGAACTTGCTCTCATGCCCGGCGGAGCTGAAAACGATCACAATGCACGCTGGGTATGAGATAATCGATGTGATGCACGGCAACTTAAGGTCATTGGAAACTTCACATTTCTATAGTGTGAGAATAACAAGAGGCAACACTCACAGAGCTACAGTATCACACAGTAATCGTCAGGCAGAAAGTACAGTAAGAAAGGTTAGATGAAATGGCATCCTTAGCATTTACAGTGAATTCAGGAAATACGTCCTTGGTTGAACCAGTATGACAGAGTTATTAATCAAATTTCCTTTAAATTAAAGTTTAACCTTTTCCTCATGCTCCACCGGTTGACATGTTATACCCCCAGCATTCCGGGGAAACGTGGCCTTACAGTTGCACAACCACTGGAGGGAACAGAGACAACATAATAATGTGATTTAAACAACTCAGTGACAACACACAGGTGACATTCATACTGTAAAACAATATTTAATCCCCTTACAGTGACAGCAGCTTCCTTTTTGTGGTTGTAAGTATCGAGATACTCTTGAAGTTCCAACACGCTGAATTTCATTTTTTCCAGGAGGCCATAGGATATAATCTGAAAAATTAAGCTTGTTGTTGAATTTGTTTAACTGCCATTGATAGGTCATGTTTTGAAAAATAATGTTAGTTATGTCACTCACTGTGTTTGCATCGATAAATAGAGTCGGGCACTCTGAGCAGGACGTCAGCATCTGAGATGACCTCAAAAACTTTACTCCTAACCCCCTCAGTCCGTTGCCGAGGTAACTCACTGCGTCACAGGTCAAAGAGCAAAATTTGCTCTGGATACTCTGCAAAGCAAAGCAACAGGCTTACTGTGATGCTGTCAGAGTCGCTCCTTCATCGTTTAAATTCTATACATTCTGTCATTACATCGGAAATCCTCCCCTGTCAGCTTTGGTCAGTGAAGTGAACAACATTTGGTTAATGAATCTCTGAAGATTTTCAAGCTGAAAGCATCCTGCCCTCCATTTGCACTTAATCAGATTCCTTGTGAAACGAAGCCTCTTTCTCTAAAGGTTAATCAGTCACATATTTAATCCTGTTACCCTTTCACTTCACTTTGACCAGCCACACTGTCAATAACATTTAGGAGCA